AACACACCCGATTTAACTCGTCAGCTCGTGTTTATTTTAGCACTTCCGTCAGTGAATACGCAGCCTGCAAAACACTAAAATAAATATCAAAGAAATAATACAGTTAAACAAGAAAGTAGTCTAAATAAGAAAGTTAAATACACCCTGTCTACCGGACGCGAGCGGCGCGGCAAAATACTATAAAACTCATTATAATCAGTGATGCTACATTGGATGTGGCACGACACGACATGACAAATCCCCGACAGTAAACTGCCTCGTACTATTTATGAGGTACTGACACAAAGTTCAAATGTCCTGTGTAGTAGACACTAGACAGACTCAACCTGTTGCGACGCGGCGGTGTCGTGTCAGGTGTAGACACGGTTCACTGTTCCGCCACCAAGCAAGCGGGCGCATTAAAGGGATAGTTAACCCAAAAATGAAAATTTGATGTTTATCTGCTTACTCCCAGGGCATCCAAGATGTAGGTGACTTTGTTTCTTCAGTAGAACATAAATGATGATTTTTAACTCCAACCGTTGCAGTCTATCATCTTTCATTTATCGCTGTCTCGTTTGTATTTGGCCAGTTTGGAGAAAGCCTCACCAAACCTGACCAGCCAGGCGTTTGCGAACACGGGAACTTGTACAAACGCGGATGGGTGACATGAATGGAGATGGCTCCAGATCAGCGATGTAGTATTTGGTTTCCCTACAAGGTCTATCGCCCAAAAGAAAATTAATTTGCTGAATGTATAAACTGTATTTTCCTGCGCTCAACCCTGCCAATCTGCCAAGCCGACCTCATACGTCATCCTCCCGGAACTGCTTCCGTTTACAACAGTGAGCGCAAGCTAGATTAAAGTGATTATTACGTTTTAAATATGGTTATTTTTCTTACAAAAACACATGGATTCGCTACAGGAGGACTTTGTTCAGCCCCCGGAGCCGTGTGAGACATTTTTTTTTATGGATGGGTGCTTTTTATTTCACTTCTTTTGGACTGAAGCACTGTAACACCTGCTGACTACAATGATAGAGCTTGGAATAGCCAGGACAATTTTTAATATAACTCCGACTGGATTCGTCTGAAAGAAGAAAGTCATATACACCTAGGATGCCTCGGGGGTGAGTAAAACAGCCTAATTTTCATTTTTGGGTGAACTAACCCTTTAACATACTGGTAGTTCTTTGTCACACAATTATTATTAAAG